TGTGGATAAATGGGGCGAGCTTTGGACTAGTAGGATGAAAAACAAACCCTAGACCAATGCGGCGGTAGTAACATCGAAGAGGATTGATTGCTCAAGCCCTTGTACTGTGGAGGTGCTGGGGGTGAGGGGGGGCCCGCTCCACCCACGTGCTGTCAAGTTGGTGCATGGGTTGCCGCCAACGTTTTTCTCCGCGACATGAATGTGGGCCTGCCGCTGGCGGATTTTTGCCGGATTGAAATGTTGGCCAACGGATTGTCGCTGTGGCTACGCCACGTGCCGAGCATGAGCCGAGCTTCGCCTTACAAACAACGGCGACTGCACGGGCGGGCTGTCTACCCGGAGCTCGTCGCAACGAGGCGCTGGCGGCCGAATCGGCCAGGAGGCGCCTGGCCCCATCCACCCGCCGGCGGCGGCGAAAGCACGCGGAGTGCCAGCACCTTTGCGCTCGGCGGCGCGACCGGCATCGCGCTTTCGCGGTTGGAACCTCAGAAACACGGACTGTCTCACTTTGTGCTGCTTTCGTTAGACCCGTAGCATATGTCTCCGCCGCGCGTCGTATCAAAACTTAATTTGACGTTGCATTGGAACAGTAATTTCGCCAAACATGGCCGAGAAAAAAAACATCTGACCCCTCAAAACCTTCACGTGCAAATTTTGTTCACCTGATTTGAGACCGGACGGAGGAACTGGGACCGGAACAGGCATTGTTTGACTTGTTTTGTCATCCATGCCGTGCTGATAGGTTCAGGTCACAACATAGCCAACAGCATCACCGCTAACATTTTCCATGCTTGATCGTTGTGTTGGGGCGCATCACGAATCTGGGGTTCATGTGTTCGCAAGGTGAATGTTGCGCATGTTCCAACATGTGCAAACGTGTGCAAACCTTGCTGAGGTGCCTGCAGTGGCGTTTATTGCGGGAGCATTGGTTATGGCTACATTCCATCGCCGCCCCCGCCGGCAGGCCAGTGAAGGATTGTGGGACATGCAAACTTTCGAGCACGCCGCGAAACATGACTGGTGGGCAAATCCATACGGGCGTCCGCAACCTGAAATCAGAAAACGGTCTGTCCAGGATTCGCATCAGAGTGTTGCACGGCTCTGCGCGGCCAAAATTAAATGCTGCATAATGCTGCAAAACCCCCGTGTTGCATTATGTCTGGCTCCAAGACCACAGGTGCTCATGCAAGCAAGGCTGTTGGCGCCCGAGCAGAACAGCCAGGAGATCGTTGACAAGCGACAATTCGCCAGCACATCAATTTTGCTTGTGGTTAGGTCATTGAGAATCAGTGAAATATACGCAAACAAATCAATTCATGTAGTCCTGCAGTTCCAGCACCTTGACGACAGTGATTAACTGATTGAATGTGTATGAATCTGTTGTGCCCTGGAAGTGGGCCATGATCACAGAGGACGACTGCGGTCGACCGCGTCTGGGCATGAGATATCGACTCCGCAATTTCGAAATCCCGGGTTGTGCTGATGAAAGAGCGCCGCAGGTCCCAGGCTCGACTTCAGGACGCGCACTAAGAAAGAATGGATGCCAAAATCATGTGCTGACCATTGTTTCAATTAATGGAGTCCCAAACCATTTCCGATCCATTATTTCAAGTAATGGAGGCCCAAACAGTTTCTGTTTAGATAATAGTAATACCCTCCAAATTAAAACCATTGAGGAATGTGGCAATGTTTGATGAGGATACATTATTTCACGTGATACCGGTCATGTTACAAACACAGCGGGGGGGTTGGGGGGGACAGAGCCCCTTGACACGGGTTCATATTTCACCAGAGCTGGGAATTGGACGGCCCTCCGATTTGCAAATCTTTGAGTAGTGTTGCAGCTGTTGATTAGATACGGGTTCACGTTCATGCCCAACAAAAGAGCAGAGGGGTTGGGGTGGGGGGGCAGCTCCCACCAACCTCAAATCTTTGAGACATGTTTTACATGTTGCTAGATGAGACGTGGATTCATGTTTCACATGCGCGGGGGCCGTTGAGGGGGAGTGCAGCCCTCAAGCTACACCCCGTTAATCTAAGGGTGTGGGGTGTTCTGACTTGATAGTATAATCGCCCCATCAGTCCAAGCCCTGCCCCATCAGCCCAAATTCCGCCCCATAGTTCAAGAAAGTTCAAGCTACGCCCCGTTAGTCCAAGGGTGTGGGGCGATAGTCAAATTCAATCGTTTAGTTCAAGCTGCGCCCCTTTAGTCCAGGCTATACTCCATTAACCCAAGCTCCAAGCTACGCCCCACTAGTCCAAAAGGAGTTCTGATTTGAATTTATCATCCTTCATTAGCCCAAGCTGCAAGCCATTAGTTCAAGCTCCGCCCCATTCGTCCAAGCTACCGCCCAGTAATCCAAGCTACACCCAGTTAGTCCAAGGGTGTGAGGAGTTGTGACATCGTTTAATTTTTTGCTCACCCCATCAGTACTACCCGCGCCCCATAATTACGGGGTTGCCCCATTAATTTCAAGGGTGTGAGGACTTTTGATTAAATGTTGTTTCTTGTTTTTTGTCCAAGCTACGGCCCATTAGTCCAAGCTACGCCCCATTCGTCCAACTCGCGCCTCATCATTCCGCGTAACGCTATTAGCAGTATTAGTGATAGAAGTAACAATACGGTGACTAATAGTAAGGTTTTGACATACTACGATGGTCATGATAATATATGTAGCGCCCACCCCAAGTAATAGTATCCTCAGGCCCTCCCCAACGTCCAACAAAAAATGACAACAATGCCTTTCCCCCACCCACCCACACTCTGGGCGCTGGTGGTGCTAGTCGTACTTGTCCTCGCCACCGTCGTCCTAGTCGTAGTCGTAGTCGCAGTAGTAGCAGCAGTTGTAGTAGTCAGCAGCAGCAGCAGTCGTCGTCGTGGTAGTGGTAGTGGTAGTGGTAGTGGTAGTGGTAGTGGTAGTGGTAGTGGTAGCTAGTGGTCGTGGTCGTGGCAGTGGTACTAGTCGCACTAATAATAATACATCCAATAATGCTAAAAGATATGATAGTATTAGTAGTAATTTTAATAGTGCCCGTCGTTACTTTCCAAATACTAGCAGTCCTGGTAGTTGTGGTAATAGTAGTAGTCGTCGTCGTAGTAACCTATTACATTATTAATAGAACTTGTCCATCTATGAAAGTGGTCATGAAATTATTACCAGTACCCACACCCCCATCTCCCGCCTCTGCCCCCCCAAAAAACAACAACAACAATTCTCATTTCCCTTCGCACGCCTAAAATTTTGTTCGCATGCCGACTCCTCGAATTCGCCCACTGCGACGTCCTCCTTGCCACCATGATTGAGTTCACGCCGCGTGCAAGTAGTCTTGGACTTTGTATGCCCTTCACCACAATTTACTACTCTTTGTAATCCCAGGCCACCCCCCAAATTTGCAGCGCAATTAAAATCGATAAACAACATTTATCTCGGTAATAACCTGGCAGCTGGTATTCGCTTTGGGATCAATGTTAGTACTGGCGCGACCATTAGCATACACGTGTATTCTATATCAAACTGGAAGTGTATTCGAGTCAACTAAGATTCAAGTGAAGCCAATTGAAGCGAAATTCAACCAAATGAAAGCAGTTTTAACATCTGATGAAAACAAACCACTTCAAACTCTGATTGCGCTATTTTCGAAATCAATTCAATCATATGAAATCCACCTGACGTCTAATCAGCGCCAATTTTTAATTCAGCCCAACATAGAAGTTATCCTGGATTACCCCGGCGAAGGAAGTTTTACGATTTTTTTGGTATTTTTGGCGTCGAACATTTTAGGTATTCCGTGGTAGTGCTTAGGAGTTTGAGCTTTTTGGGCCATCGCGGCCCAGGGCGCATAGGCCATGTGCTTTCTGAGCTAACCGCTGGTGGTGTCGGATGAGTGGCTGAACAAATCACTTGGGACTTGGTTATTTTTGACGGATTCAAAGGCTTCCACAGGGCCTGAAGTCAACCGTTGCTTGGGTCCGTCACATGCAGAGTTGAAGTTTTTTCTCGACAAATTGGAAACCATATGCTTTCTCTCACGAGGCAGCTTCAAGTTTTAAATGCTTTCCGAGCCAAATGCTTGCGCAAAATGTTCAACAGTCCGCATTCCGTATCAAAATGGCCTGGAATTTACCTGTTCAAAATGCCTCACTGTACCTGCGTGACCCCTTCGTTGAAGATGGTACGCAAGGCGGGGCCCCTAAACTTAACAGCTTCCGAATCAAGTCTGCCACCCGCCTCGGCCCCATTGGCTTGGGCTTAGTTCCGTCCATGGAACGCTTCAGTTGAACGCCCTTGTGTTTTGGGTTGCCCAGCATGCAAAAAACGGGCCTTGGTACTTTAAAGGCATCGTTTGTCATGTAGTAGATAAGGTAGTTGCGTGCAGACGCCGGTTCGTAGAGGCAAGCATGCTTGTTGCAAAAATGTCTCACATGGCCTTTGCGTGCCACCGATTCAAGCATGCAGCCCACAGCGCCCCGAAGACGAGTGGTTTTGACAATCCAGTTGTTTTGTGGTGTACTTCGTTGTGAGTGCAAGTGGACAGGTTCCTTTCGCCGGCCAGCTAGTGCCAGTCATCGGTGAGGCTTGCAATTTGTGTCTTTCAGTTTGTTCTCATTTTTTGTGCTGCCCCGACCATGTGCTGGCCCCACGACAGGCAAACGTTGGTGCTGCGCTACTGGACAATGCGATTTCTTGCATCCCCTTTCAAAACTGGATGCTTGGACATAAATGGATGTGGCAAGTACATGACAGCAGCACCGCTAGCTTTCATGGTCGAAACGTTTGCTTGGTGTTGTGCGGGCCAGGCTTTCCAAATTGGAGCGGAATTCCGAATTTTGACCGCACATCATTGTCAGCATGCACGGGAGATATGGGAGATGCATTGTCAACTACGAACTTCATGGGCCCTGCTTGGACATGTCATTTGGGGCGATTCGCAGATCTTTTTTTTTCGTGTGCACCAAGGACAGTTTTTCATTGCACCGTGTTGATGTCCAATCTGTGGACATGTTTGGCAACCGCGTGGGTCGCTTGTTGCATGGTTCTATGTAGCAAGCCTTGGTGAGCGCGGATGCCTGTGCCCGAGATAGTTCCCCTGAACGATCGAAGGCGATCCAAATGTGCATCACGCAACAGAGCAGGGGAAGAGGAGGAATGCCTTCCTTGTTCGTTGCCTCCCTTGTTTAGTAAGGTTTCGTGAAACTCAAGTCGGAAGTCAAAGACCGAGACGGCGACTCGCTTGCTGGTTCCTTGGTCTGATATGTTTTGATGTAGAACAGTTTGATGTAGAGAGAGGTCTTTTTCTGACGCGGGTGGTTATTTTGCAAACTGCAGTTCGTGTTGCGGTAAGGAATTTGCTTCCTGCGTGGTGGTTCCGTTGCCGTCCTGGTTATTCTGGAGTGTGCGGAAACTGGACTGGAACACTGCTTGCAGGTGCAGATTGATAACGTGCCTCGCCAGCTTGGGTTTTATCTGTCATGAGAAGACATGACAAATAGACATGACAGCTCCCACCCTTTCTGCTTCCAAGCAGCCACTCATCTAGTCACTCTCGCCAGAGACGTGTTTTAATAAGAAATTCACGTGCCGTGAATCACTGAGGTCTGCACTGCGCAGCCGAGGCATATGGCCCTTCCGGCAGGCATGCTGGATGGTAGCTTGGCGTGATGCTGTGCAAATTGAGATGCAGTGCTGAAACTGCTCCGTCCATGAGGGAACGGTGATTTCACCGGTGCGATGGCCCGCGAGATGGAGGAGGAGACCGGCATAAAATGCTCCTTTGGTGCTGAAGCATTGGCCCAGGGTACTTGGTGTTATCATTGATTCAAGCATAAGCTTTTGATTTGGAGGGGTGCGTGAAGGCAGCGAACGGTCTGGCGAAGCGAGGAATGTGTAATCTGTTCAAGGACTCATGCTGCAAGGGTTGCATGTAGCTTTAAATCTTTGAGAGTATGAGACTGGCTGGGGCATTACAAGGGGTTGACGGATCAATTGCAGTAATTTCGCAGAGCCTAGAAAAGAGGCCGAGGCTGTAAGACCTGGAGTGCTTGTTTGTTTCTATTTGGCAAGTGATGCAGATGCGAACCATACATGGATTGTTCTGGCATGATTTCAGCCAGGTGAACTTAGTTTGAGGTCATGCTGCAAATTTGATCGACATGACCGCCCTTGCCTATGGTGACAAGTTCGAGGGCATGTACCCTTCGGTTGGTGCTTGTGATGAGTTCATCCGCCTTTTCCTGTTCAGGAAGGTCATGCCTCCTGGCTGCAGAGCTTGTTCTCGTGAGAATGTGCCGCCCAAGTGACTCAGAAGCTTGCGCAAGAACACACTCCTCACCCCCAAGCCAGCAGCACAAGCATGCATGAGCAGCCGAAAACCTTGCAATAGGAAAGTGTTGGCGGGATGCTCCTGAGCCTCCGAGTGTCATCATCAGGGCAAGGCAAACTGACAAGGTATTTGGCTGATTGACAAATCCATGCTAGGGGGCGTTTTTTTGAAAACAAGGGCCAGACTAATTCACTTTGAGCATCCCCGCCCTAAGGTGTGATTGTCCAGCACTTGGGGTCATTGACCGATTCTGCTTAATCTTACTCAGCCAACTTCCGGGATATAAAGCTTAAGATCGTCCCGTGGTTGTTCGTAAAGCCTACACAGGGTTTGTTTGGAAAGGGTTATAAAGGCTATAACGGGTCCTCCAGAGGTGCTATAAGGCCTAGATACGGTCCCTGCGGGGTTCCGTAAGGCCTACATAGTGTGGCCTTTAAAAGCGATATGCGGCCACAGGCTGCTTACATGGCGTCCCTTTCCAGGTGATATATGGACTATAGGGTACTTTAAAGAGGGTATAAGCCACATACAGGGTCGCGTTCAAAAGGTTACGACGGCTATAAAGAGTGTGCATTGATACTGTGGGATTAGGCAGTGCATGGAGAATATGAGGTTGGATGTTTTTGCAGATGGGCATTACAGAAATATTCTGCTGTTGGGTATTTTGCGGTTTGGCGCTGCAAGTATGCGTTGCGGTTCGCAACTGCAAGTATATTCGTTGGGCACTGCAAGGATACTCTGTGGTGGGCACTGCAAGGATGATACCGTGGTTAGGCGTGGGGGCGAACGTGGTTGGGCAACGTGGCACTGCAGATGGGGCGTGCTGCGATGCTGTACGGATATTTTGCGGTTGGGCACTGCGCGGAGAGCGAGGGGAACATTGAGTGGAGAAACTGTCCTCTTGTGTATAGTCATGTTATATAGACTTATTTTGCACACGTGCGTAGGTTTTGTCGTCTTTAAGTTTGTCCATAACCCAATTTTTGCTTCTTCCCTTTATATCCCTCTGTTGAACTGTTGGAACGTCACGGAATCATTCTTTCAACCGGATAGCTCTGATTAGTCGCGTTTGCTTCAGAACACTTCGGAGAAGTCAGGGCCCAGCTAGGCCCATGAGCGATCGGAGGCCAGCCTAGGGAGGGCCACAGCCAGAACACCCGTTTCCATTGTCACACACAATTGAAGCAGAATCTGCAAACTTCTTGTCTTCAAGCCCAAGATAGCAAATCCTTGCGGCGCTTGCCGCTGCTGCAGTCCAAAGGCCAAGAAAAGGCCGGCACTCGCCCTTGCAAGATTTAGTCAGTAACTGGAAACCCGAAGGTCAAAACTGACCAGTTTCTTTGAGTCTGTAGTCCCCAGCGGTGAAGCCCTCAAACCCCAATCCTTGTGGCTTACGCAATTTTACAATATATTTTTTTTTGATCCTCGGCCTTGAACCGGCGAGCCCCAATCCTTGAAGCTTTCACCATTTTCAA